TTCTCATCTAACAGTAAATCTCAATACATTTCGTCCCATTTCCATGGTTGTCGGTAATATCGTCAGCTGTCTTGTAGAACATCCAAGCGTAGCCAGATTTGGCTGGATCAGTGATAGATGATCCTTCTCTATCCACAATGAGCACATTATATCCCAACCCTAAGTAGTCCAAGATTTTACGGTGAGATGCAATCGTCTGCTCTGGAGGCCCAGCTTTGTGCGGAAGCTCACTCAAAAGTGACAGATCAGCCGTAATCATCTTGGGGGCCCTGTCGATGGAGACCGGGGGATAATAATACAATCGAAGTTGATGATGCGATTGAACATTCGCAGAAAGTAATGATGGATGTGCAATAGCAGTATAATGATCCAGCGACTGCAAGAGTCGCAGTTGGGGAATGGCTAAACCCTCATTGTACCATACCATATTCGTTGAGTACCGAGGTACATGCCCGAAGAAGAGTTCACAGCTATCCGGAATCCTAGCTACCCTATTGATGAGCTTATTCCAGTATGATGATATCAGTGGAGTCAACTCTGGTACCCCTAATAATCGTTTAGTCATACCTGACGATGAGAAGATAGGACAACCCATAATCGTCTTGATCGCTCGTGAGTAGGAGCCTTCTAATTTAGATCACCTCGCTGCTGTTAAACCAAAGACCCACGCCGAACTCCCATATGTGAACAAATGTTGCACGTACTGGATCAACAGCAGGCGTAGAGTCATGGTAGGAGTGTTAGAGAGCCGTCTAATAGTCCCAACTTTAGAAGCACAACTTCCACGAATGTACTGAAGATGATCATTCCATGTCAGTTTGTTGTCGAACACTACCCCTAACAAGCGAATCGTCTGAACTGGCTCAATCGCCAATCCATTTATTGTAAGTTGGTGATTTTGTATAGTGAGTTTCTTACGGTCTTTGAAATACACAAGCCCATCTTTGTCCTCCGCTAGGCTCATCCCATTGTCCAACAACCAAGTCTCAATGAAGGTCAACGCGTGCTTCAGCTTACGATCAACTTCTTCTTGGGTTGTCCCTTCGCACCAAAGTAGAATGTCGTCCGCATAGGCACAAAAACCTGCAATCCTCAGTGAACGATCTCTGAGATTCTGTAAAAGGTTTAGAAGGGGATTGATGTATAATGCCCACAATAATGGGGATAATACCCCCCTTGGGGCAGACCTTCATGTTGTAATTTCCAAGGAGAATGTTCCCAATCAACGTCTACGAAGAATTTATGCCCCTTGAGAAATCCCCAGAGGAATCTGGCTAGTGTGATATTGATATCTGCTTCAAATATGCGCGTTTTCAGCACCTGTAACGTACAAGTGTCATATGCTTTACGTAAATCCAGGCTAAGCAGACCAACGATTTTTCGACCTCTAACTCCGGTGCTAATAGACTGATGGAGGTAGGTTACTTCGTCTTCCGAACTCCTACCCGACCGAAACCCGAACTGGCACGTATTGATCTGTTTAACCTCTCTCGCTGGAAATCTCTCAAAAGCGGTCTCTAGCCTATACAGTGTCATGTTCTCTACGATCCTAGCAAGGATGTAATTACTGCATGGTGTGGTTAGGTGTAGTGTGGGTTTTTCCCTAATAAGGACTATTCTCCCTCGCCGCCATTGATGGGGAGTATCTAGAGTTGTGAAGGCCTAATTCATCTATCATGAAAGGTTTAGACTGTTGTGCATCAAGCAAGTCGTGGTGACCGGCCGTGGCCTTGTCGCGACCTAGAGAGGCCAGCTTTCTGAGTTTGTGGGCTTTCATGGTATTAGCACGCCTATTCTATTGAGACTTGGAGGCCAGAGTCTACTCCTATAGACCGCCTCAGATAAATAGGTAGAGTAGGTCGTTGCTGCCTCACGCCCCAAATAACCCTCTAATTCCACTTTTATGAGTCGGTCTCTATGCTTTTCAGCTATGCTTTTCAGGACTCTCGAGGTCTTCTTGGAGGCCTTTGTCAGGCTTTCAGTAAAAGTTATCCATGACTTTTTCTGCGCTTCCCGGAGCTCTACATGATAATCATTCATCACTCTACGCAGGCTACGTTGTAGTTCATCAAAAGTTTCCCTGCCTGACGTCTGCGGACTATAGCTCTCCTAATTTTATTTTTCTGAAGGCGCAGAAGCCTCAAACGATCATTCCAGTAAGGTTTATATATTTGTCGCCTCCCCCGTGCGATACTACGCTTAGCGGCCATTTTGAGAGCTTTTTATTATGTAGGTAGGCCGTAGATAAAGACCAATCTACTTTCTGAAGGAGTGTATCTAACTCATGACCAAACTTTGGCCAGTCCGCCAGCTTATAATTCCACCTATTAGCCAAGGCTCCCTTACCACCCCGTCCCACGAAACTTTTTGCCAACTGCATAGTTATCTTTATCGTTAAGTGATCAAACACAGCCATTGTATTTTCCATGACATATTTGCTGCATTACGGTACCATTTCCTGTGATACAGCAATAAGGTCTATGCTCGACATAGCAGGGGCTTCTTGGAAGGTAGGTGCATCATGGATCGAGTTGAGAGGCTTCAGACCAAATTCACGCAGCCATTCATAGATGTATGATCTCCGTTCATCTGCCGTGGTAGGTAAGCTCCCAGGCTGGGAGTCCCAGCCCATGATGGATGGTGAGCGTTGACGTCTCCAACCAGGATACAACCCTCCAACGGTAGGTCCGGTAAGTGAGTAATAGCGGGTTGGTGGCTTTGTGGTCGAATATAGATGTTAATCAATTTTTTTGTGATAGGGAGACCCACGATTTCTGCCCCCCAACATAGAGTATTGATAGTTGGTGTCCTGTAATGACACTCGTAGGAAGGGTCTCAGCTTTAGTGGACGTCTAGCCAGTATCACTAAGCCGCATCGAGTTAGATCCCGCTGTGGAAGGTATTCGGCCTCGATGTGCTCCACTGAATAGTTCATAAAGTGTAGGGAATTCTGAGGACCATGAAATGTTTCCTGTGGACAAACTATATCTGGCTTAGCACGTCGTAGACACTAGAGTAATTCGAGCTTACTACCAACCAAACCATGTATGGTATAGGAGATCAGTTATAGGATTCAGCAACGACATGGCATACGACGCGGTGGTGCTACTGGTCACCATCAACTAGTGTGGGGTGTTTGGTAGTGAATCTAGCCACTTCATGGTCACCGCTCAGAAGGACGTACTAGAGTGGTAGGTTCGATCTCTACTTGGCACCGGCAGAACCCCGGCCACCCCCACGCGACGATGACCCGTAGAGACCTATGGGGGAGGGGGTGCGTCGAATACTACGTGTGGGGAGGTTCTCAAAGGTTGCGGTTCAAGTGGATGTAAATCACACACAGTAGTCGGACGGCAGCAGATGTGTCGCAGAGGGTTGAGCCTAGAGGTAGGCAAGGAAGTACCTGCAAACTGTTGAAGGCTCAAGGGAGAGCAAATACGACACGTTCGTCAATACTTCGAGGTTGAATGCCGTGACTCCAACTCGAAGGAAACGCAATTAGAAGAACCAGTTACGAAAGGGGCTAGTCGAAACGCTTGATAGTCTAGAGATCTACTGTAACCAAGGAAGTCACAGTAGGCAAATCTCACGAGAATATCACGAATCACAAGTAATGACTCTTCTTCTAATCTCTTCTTCGAATCAAAAGGGAGACAACCGTTTCAGCCGTTTCACTATGGGAATGCCCTAATTGCATGTAATCCGAGCGAAATCAGCAAACCACAGTTGGGCTGTTGAGTGTCGATCACAAAGAGGGGCATCAATAGTACTAGGCCTTCTCGGAGAAGGGGCGGAGCTCGGCGTCCGGGTTCGATTCCCATGCCTGGCGTTTTTCTGCAAAAATATGTTTTTTGCACGGAAATCTACATGGTCCGGGCGGAACCCTGATTTCGTATTTTCCTAGTATCCCTAGAGCGAGAGCTATCGAATGGTGTATAGCATGTGATCATAACCTCTCTAGATCGAGCTGGATAATTTGTACGCACGCACGCACGCACGCACAAAGTGTTAGTAAAGTGAGAGAATACGCTCCGCTCGCTTCGCTCGCTCCGCAACTAGTTCATCTCTCAGCTTCTTACTGGCCATTGGTGGGCCTATCCCGGACGGGACGTCCGACACAGGGGGGACTGTTAGGCAACGATCCAAGCCCCAAGGTGATCGTAGGGCAACCTGCGCTGTTCATGCAGTTTTCATGCAATCTGATTGACGCTTCAGATATTAACTGATAGCCCCAACTCAACAGTCGAAGAAACAGATATATCGAAAAACCCACGAACACTGGCGAAAGCTATCCTCATAAATCCCTGCCTCTTTCGTGCAAGCCCACAGAGATTTGTGGACCACAATAAAAAATTCTTGCTCACCACAAATTGTGGTGAGCAAGAATTTTTTATTGCTGGCAAGAGAGATTTTTGTGCTTAAAATGGGATATTTTTGTGGCGCGCGCGAAAAGTTATCCGAAATCTTGCCGTTGAGTTAATTAATCAAGGAGCTCGGCGCGCTCTTTCGGTCTGGGTAAATTCGGAATTGGGTAAATAATGGCAGAGCCGTATGATGATACTCAAGATCACCCTGTTTGGTGTGGTACGAATTGAAAATGGCAAAAGTACTCTCTCGATATCAGTGCTCCTCTGTTGAGGGTAGTTTTGTACTCGAGATTGCTGTACAAGTGGTGGTGTAACACCACTGGTGATACTCTTTGGTTGTGTTTTCGATGCCCTTATTAGATGTGATCTACAAAAGCGTACTTCTTTACTCTCAACAGTACGAGTGAGTTCTAGGGAACCAACCCGCGCCATCGATCCCCAACTTGGCCTATCACCACCTAGGACTGGCTTGCATGTGGTGTAAGACTCACTTCGCTTAGACCATGAGACTACTATGCTATCAATTATTATTTCATGGACATGCTGCTTATTATTATACACATGAATGGATACTTGAACTATTCCATTACCACTTAGAAGGAGTGTTATTATTATTATTTAAGTGTCATGTTGGATCCTATACATGATGATGATGATCCTATTGAGCCTATGCAGCAGCATATCGACAACAATGATCATCATCATAATCTCAATCGAGCACCGTAAGTGTCTTATTATTCACTACCGCTTTCGGTAGTGTTTGTTATCAGCAGCAGCAACCCTCATTAGGTATCGGGATAGTATATTAGAGGAAGAAGAACGACGACGACGACCATGTGGAGGTGAAGTAGTTAGAAGCAGCCCTTCACCAACAACTACTTTAAAGTAGTAGTAATCAGAGATATAACTTAACAACGTCGTGAATAAAAATATTATTATTATACAGGTTATTGGAGTTTGAACAACAAGAGAAAGAACATCATCATCATCATACATCAATGATAGACTCTATCAATGATACTGTATTATTGTCATGCGATGACAATGATATACTAAGATTAGCTACTGATATACAAAAATTGGAGAATCCAATAAAAGTCATCAATCGATCTCATCATCATGAAAGAGGAGGAGGAGGAGGAGGGAATGACCACATGATACTTAACAATTATGATAATAATGTAGGTTATGTAAATGATAATAAGGGACTAAAAGGTGGTATTATTATTATTATCTATTCATACCATCAGGATTGATAGTAGTATTTGATCTATCCTACTATTACTACTATCATCATCAACAACAACAGTAGCATCTGTTGTTTATTCTTCATCGTATAGGAACTTAACAAGGACATATCTAAGCGTGTAAGGAAGGATAATGTATCAATGATTTTTGCAACGTTTCCACAACAACAAGAACAAGAAGAAGAAGATAAAGCGAAGAACGGAGGAAATGCTGATACACTATCATATCATCAATCAACAACGTAAATACATATGCTCCACATTGTAATAATAAACAACACATTATTACAGCAGATATAAGGCAGCATTCCATCAGCATCATCCTCATTATGATAATGATGACAAGGAATACTTTCTTAAGAGAAACTCGTATACTGATTACAACGAGGATAGAGTGAGGTAGCAATAGTATTATCATCATCATCATCCTCAACAATATTAAAGTATAATATACATAATAATAATGATATTCAGATATAAACATACTATGCGATCATGAGTAATGATGATTATTATTATGGTAATGTTGTTGTTCATAATCAGTTATTGTGTTGTTATTGTGATTATCATTATTACCTGCGATATGTTATTTTATTAGTGCTTCTTCTTTTTATTATTATTATTATCAACTATAATGATACGAGGTACTACAAGGTCATCAAATATCAAGGATGATGGTCATCATCATTCATTCATGTCGACTTCTCTATCGATGCATCATACATCAACAACAACAACAACAAAAACTACTACTACTACTGATATCGCTAAACTACTGGTAATAACAATTATGATGGTTTTCTTTTTGTTGTTCTTGTTGATGATACTACTACTAGTAGTAGTATTATCATGATTATAATAGTATTGTAGTTGGATATGAATAACGTGGATAAGGATATTCGATATATGGCTGCTACTGATATCGTTAATAAAGTATTAAATACAACAACAACAACAATAAAGGATGATGATGGTAATAAGCTTTATTATTATATCATATATTTATTATATATTTTATTATTATCAGTATCGTAGAATATTAATATATTATGAAGTTACTATATTATTATTAGGTTGTATCATCATGGACAATGATCGTGGACACAAACTTGATGATGATGATAGATTCCATACATATACGAGATCAGTCTCAACAATAGATGATACTATGCAAAGGAGAATATGTGAATCATTGATTAAACAAATAGAAGATGATCCAAGCATAGATGTAGTCACTACTCTTCTTCTTCTTATCATCAGCATCATCATCACTAATACATACTACTACTACCACTATTATTATTATTATCAAGGTACAAAGTAATGCTATCAAATGTATAAGTAAAATAATAATAACATTCAAGGATATGTATATACTTGAGGTAATTATAATGATTTTGCTACTATAATAATAATAAATGTATAGTTATTATTATTATTATTGTTAATAAGGTTATATCTGCATTACTTGATATTATATTAACTCGAGAAGGAAGGGAATCATATAATGAAAGACGGAGAAGAATATGTAAGATATCGCTCTCTCATTCGAATACCATTACTAGTTGTTATTGTTATTATGGACTTTACGATTGATATTGTAATGTTGTATAATAGGTGATGTATGCACTGGATGTATAAAAGATATCATATATACATTACCTTCTACTAAGACGACAATATATCATATTATCAATCCTACTTCTCAGCAACAAACAAGGAATAATATCTTAAGAAGACTTATACAAGTTATTTCTTCTACTAAGAGTATTGATGCTATTACTACTACTACTGATGATGATAACTATCATATCATGGAATATTGTATCGACATCATTTTAGAAGTAAGCTCCTCCTGCTGCTGCTGCTGCTGCCACTCAGTTGCTATACTCACTGTGGTATTATTATTATTAACTTATTATAGATATTAAAGAAGATAGCAGATATAGAGATGAAGTTGATCGATTATAATAATATTGATAATAATAATAATATCATTACTACACCTATATCGTATATATGGGATATTAGTGATGACAATACTCAACCTCATACTACCTTAACCCAGGCTATCATTAATATATTATACAAAGAGGATAACAACAGTAACGGGATGAAGAAGATGCTACTACCTAATAAACATAGTATTAGGTAGTAGTCTTATTATTGATATTACGTAGTATACGGTATTACTATTCCCTTGTTGTTATCATTAGGATCAAATGCCAGAGTTGTATTGCTTATCTCTGCCATACATATATTGATAATTATGACAATAATAAGTATATGGATTACATAATGAATACTATTATGTCACAATTATTACTATCAAAATATAAGACTACTGCAATATTATTGGATAATATTGCTATATATGTGGATATCATAGCTGCTATTGAGTAATAATAATAATAATAATAATAATAATAATCATCATCATCATCATCATCATCATCATCATGCTCGTCTATTATTATTATAATCATTATTATCAGATCATTAACACAAAAAAGTGATAGTAATAGGATGATGATGATGACACCATATTTACAATATATATACCCAATACTAGTTAATATATTGGATTCCTTTATCGTAACAGCAGTTACTAACAATAATAATACAACATCATCATCAACAACAGTGGTAAGGGGTAATAACAATGAATCAATAGGTAATAATGATAACAGTATGATGGAGTGAGTGAGGCGATGATGGACTAACATGATTATTATTATTGTTAGATATTATTCAAGAAGGTTTGGATAGGAGTATTATGGTATCATCATCATCATCATCATCATCATCATTGAATAAGGAGTTTGGTACAGTCATACAAGCTGGTATATCAGCAGCAATATTAGATAGTAATGATGATGGTGATGATGGTGGTGCTTCTATAGCTATAGTATACCGTATTATTGAAAGTGTATTGAATATACTAGAGATACTTATTACAAGGTTGATGATGATCAGGATAAATAGTGATAATAATAATAGTATAACGATCATCTTCCTTACTACTACTACAAGATCATTGTCTTCTTATTTACCACACTTATCTCGATTACTTGTCGATCTTATATCGTATGATCCTAATAATAACTACTATAATCCTGATGATGAAACTATACAAGATGCTATGCTATCAAAAGATGATGAAGATGAAGATGACTATTATTATGCAAGTGATGATGAAGAAGAAGATGATGATGATAGTTGGAAGGTGGTAGTATGATGATGGTCATCATAGTAATAGTAGATATACATAGATACGTATAGCATCATTAAAGGTTGTTAGAGCGATGATGAAAGTGATAAGACTAATAGCCCCTATAGGTAGTAATAGTAGTAAGATATGCGATGATGATAGCAGTATAAGTATGTGATTATTATAGTAATAATAGTAGATACATTCATAGAGTGTGCTTCGAACATCTCGGAAGCCTTGGCCAAACGTTGTTGTAATAATGTTGAGAGGGAGGACTCAGTTCGGTAATATTAATGTGGTCATGATGAGGATGATGATGGTGTTGATTAATATTACCATTGTTGTTGTTATTAGACTAGAAGCCTTGGCAGCATATCAAGAACTAATCCTATCATCATCATTAGTGATAAGTGATCTAGCAGCACATGAAGAACACATAGCTGGTAGTACTACTACTATTACTACTACGGATATGATATTAATGTTATCAGGATCATATAACAATCATCATCATCATCATACTACTACTACTACTAGTAGTAGTAGTAGAATATCTGATGGAGAAATATCGACAATGATAATAAGATCACCACAAGTTATTAATATAGAATCATCATCATTATCATTATCTCAACTACTACCACCACCACCCAAGAGGACTAAGTATCATCAAGGACGACCTCTTCATCCTCCTCATCCTCCACATGATGATGAGGATGAGGAGCAGGAGCAGGAGGATGATGATACAAGTAGGAGGCTGTTGTAATGTTCATATATCATCATCATTAACATTATATAAAGGTGGTGTATGTGGAGATGAAGTAGTAGAATATAGGAATAAGAGTATACTCACAACCATAGAGGGATATATTACTAGGAGTATGTCAATGATTATTGATCATTTAACGAAGATCCTATTCATCAAGGACGACAACATATTATCTAATACTACTATGATGGTGACGGATTGTTGCAAAACCAAGACCAGCAGCAGCAGCAGCAGCAGGAGGAGGAGCAGGAGCGATGCTGTAGTGGTGAATCTTTTGTATGATACAATACATAACTTCTTATAGGCGCATAAGGAAGCTATCATACGACTAATCTATAATATCATTACTAATAGTATGAGGAAGAATGATAATGATGATTATTATTATAATGGAAATATGGAGTATTATAGGAACATGGGCAATAATAGGCTTGTTGGTACTACTGCCACTACCACTTTATCATCATCATCAAGTAAGGTCGGTAGAAAACATAATGAAAGTAATAACAATCATAATAATACTACGACAAGCATCATCATCATCATCATCAACAAGAAGAAGCTGAGACTAATATTATTAAGATGTTGATCAGTTACTGATATTTTATGGGAAGATATCTTAATGAGAGTATTCACTGATAATATATGTACAAGATCACATGTACAACAACAATTACCTATGATATTACTACGAACAGCGATATTAAATATTCATAGAAGTATATATCAAAATCAAAATCATCATCATAATCATTCTGGTATTTTAAGTAATGCAATAACAACAACGATGGCATTAGATGTACTTGTACAATTATTATTATTATTATTACAACAACAACGACAACGAGAAGGAGAAGGAGGAGAAGATGATATGAGGAGGAATAGGAGGAGGAATGACGATAAAATGATGATGAACTGGATAAAGGCAACTTCATAAACTGGATAAACCAAGCTTGTATAATCATTGTTGTAAATATTATTAGGATATCCTACCTATGAATGAAGTATTACCAATGTTGTCTAGTGCTATTGACTCTATTATTATGGTATCAACAACAACAACAACAACAAATGATTTATCATTACTCATAACATTATCACATATATTAAGGTGATGATGATTTATTATTACTATTACCAATACATATCTATCGTTATTAGGTTTATAAATGTATATTCTCACATAGTACTATCATCATCATCATCATCATCATCCTCTGAGGCAACATATTATCATGATCGATGGTTTCATCAATCACCGTCATTATTATCAAATATTATAACCATTATGAAGGGGAAATATAATATCTATCCTGAGGTTAGCAGCTATCATAAGCATCATCATCATCTTCATCACTACTACTATTATTATCACATTATTAAGAGTTCATAGTAGGTTCAAGAGGCGGCTGTTGAGGTCTTTATTACGACGATATTACAATATTTTGGTAGTAGTAAAACTAACGAGACCATCCTAACAACAACAACAACAACCACTGATGTTGATGATGATATGAATGCTAAGCGGCTACATCTTTTATCTGATGGTATACAATCTCTTCTTGATGATATACTTATTAATAAAACGAGGAGGATGATACGTAATAAGGTTATGGAACAACAACAACAGCTGTTGTTGTTGTTGATTATTATTATTATGACTATATAGGTACTAGTGCTATACGATCAATTACTACTCTATGTATACAACAATTACAGAGAAAGAGAAGAAGAAGAACATCAACACATGAAGAAGATGGTAATAACTACTGCTGTTAGTTGTTATTATTATAGCAACGACATCATGAGTATCATGTTTTTAATTAGTTATCTCGGATAAGCTATTCACTCCTGAGATACTTCATAGAATTGTTGGTAATACACCACATATAGTCATTATCATCATCATAATCTTTAGTATCTCTATGTGACAATGCTATTGGAGGAGGAGGAAAAGGAGTTGATAATACTAATAATAAACCACCACAGGAAGCAACATCAACAATAACATCAGTAGCTGCTGCTGCTGATGGTGGGGGTGTTGATGCAGCAGCAGCAGCTATAGCAGCTTTACAAGTTCTAACATCACCCTCATTGGAGTAATAACAACAAGAACGTAACTGATGATGTTATGCTATGATGATCTTTACTAGTTATGCTATGAGAATACCTCTCTCTACATGGTCTCATATAATAATACCAACACTAGCAGCATTACTTATATCACATGGAAATGATGATGATGATGATGATGCTATGATCCAGTCTGTTCCAGTTGCAGTAAAAGCAGGAGCTTTACAGGTATCACTACTACTACTGTTGTATCTTTATTATTATTATGAGTTAATGAGTATGATGATAGATATTGGTTAATGCACTCCTTCTTATATCTAACAATAATTATTCTAATACAACACTATTGTTGCCTGATACACCCAAAACTATTATCGATCTTATATATGATAAGGTAATAATAATGATAATCTATTATTAGTATTGTTATTATTATTACGATTAGGTATGCCCATACATTTATAATAAATTAATCATTGGGTCGGCAGCAGCATCATCAGCAAGAGCATTACATCTCAGTCAAGATGACGACGACGACGACTATCGGCAGTCTTTACTCACATTTATAGGTAATAATGATAATATTATTATTATGCTATCCATCACACTCTTTCTACTACTCTATCCTTTACTATCATTACACAATAATATTCCTCATCATTATAATGTTGATAATAGGTGTATTGTCGTATTATTCGGGTATATATAATAAGGACAAGTTGAAGGAATGGATAGAAGCTCTGTTGAAGAGTGACAGTATCATCATCGCTGAACACCACCACCATATAGTATCATCAAAAGCAACAACATCTACGGACAAGTCTACTGAGGTAGATGGTCATATCATCACATTAATCGTTATTTAGTCTTATAATACCAATTCAGATTGATATAAGAAGATTGAATAATATATCTATTGCTTTAGCAGCAACTATAATGATGAATATAATACCATGTCCATATGTATACTCAAATATTATGGATAGAGTATCAACTAGTATTAACAACCACAAGAAGCATCAACAGCAACTTTCTGAAGAGGAGGAGGAGAACGAGGAGGTGATCATCATAATCATCATAAACCACAATTATCATGCATATATTGTTGATGTAATATTCTCAGGTACAGATAGAATATCTCGACAAACTTATTTCAATCATCATTACAACAAAACGGGAGCATAATGAAATAATAGAAAAAGAGATGGTGATGTTTTTAATAGTAGTATTAGTAGTAGTAGTAGCGTTGTTGTTCATCAGGTTGTTACTATCATTCATTCTTTATATATCTTCCTTTTATCAGGCCTTATTAACATTGAAAAGATGTTATCATCTCTATGCCATATCATTATATCAGTATGATAATAATAAAGATAATCATCATATACAACTATCACCTCTACTACTACTACTATCATCATCAACAACAACAACAACATCACAAGTTGGGATAATATCATACATATCATCGAAGTATTATCGACATGCTATTACCGATGTAGACCTGCTACTACTATCATCATCATCATCATACTACTAACACATCATCATGTATATAGTGTTGTCTTTATTATAGGTATGTATATCCATAATAATGAAGAACAATAACACTGAGCCTACCAATACGATGATGGCAACTGTAGATGTTGTTGTTGTTGAGGTGTTGGAGAAAGTGGTGAATGCTGCTGTAGCGGTAAGTAGAGGTGCTTATTCACTCTTAATGTTGCTGTACTACTACTGGGGGTAGCGGCGTATATTATTAATAACTAGTGATATGTTATCCAATCGACATCGACACTGTAATGTATAGGTATATGCAGCATAACCTCCTCTTTATTATTATAATATTAACAGTTGTTGGGGATGGTAGGTACTCGGTCAATGTTGTCTAATTGACATCATTACTACTATGAGTATGATGACCTCTAAACAAAAAGAAGAAGAAGAGGAGGATAGTGGATATACACTGAAAAGAATATGTACTGTTATACAGAAGCTTATGGGTGATGATGATGATGATGATCAACATCAAGAAGAACATAACGTGGTAATAATGATAATAATCATGTCTTCATGGGTAGTTATAACTAATACATGTATCTCCTATTCAGGATGTCACTACTACTACTAACAAGAACAACATAACAAGAACAATATCCCATCTATTGAAATGTATAACATCATGTTTATTGGAGTATACACAATTGGAGTATTCTGGGACAATCTCTCCTCATCATAATCATAATCATCCTATTGCTCATCCTACACTTCTCAAGGATTTATGTGCTTTTTATCTTACTTTTATCATCAATATATCACAAGATAAGATAGATGATGCTAGTAGTAGTAAATATAGAGATGAGGTAATAGGAGCATAGCATGAATATGAGCAACAACAGCAGCGTTGTTAGATATCAAACACGATGGGGCTGCTACTATTGATATCACCTACAATGACTATGTCTCATCTTATACGACCTCTAGTTCATCATCATCATGATCATGATCATCAAAAGGATATTGGACAAGGAGGAGGAGACAGCAATGGTGGTGGTAGACGATGGTCGTATGTTATATCATCAATAAGATTCTATGTTATAACACTATTATCATCATCAATACATCATCATACATATGGCAAACATTATGATGGTATTGATAGGGAAGTGAAGGAAATGTTATTATCATCACTGGTAGTAGTACATAACAATAGTGTAGTGATAGTAGTATATATTATTAGGATATAACTGAAGTAGTAGGAGGAAGAGGATGGTATAATATACTTTATGATACTCTGAATATAATAACAACACTAATAAACCAATATCCCACCAATGCTGCTGCTCGGTACTCATGCTTTACTGAGGATGATATAACAAAGGTAGTAGGTTATTAAGTCATGTCGTCGTGGTTGTGGTTGTGGTCGTCTATGGTGATGATAGTTGTTGTTGTAATAATAGATATTATCTGTACTTATGAATACATGTGATATTCGGCAATCCCTTATTAGTGAAGTCGACTTGGGCCCTTTTAAACATAAACAAGATGATGGTTTACCACTACGTAGAGTAATAATAATGATGATGAGTATAATGATCTCCATGATGATGATGATGATCAGGCATCATACTCATGTTTAACATCTTTACTTACATCATCATCATCATCATCCATATTACACACATCACTTCATTATCTATGCTGCCCTAGAGATAACAACAACAACAACAATAAGACTACCATCACAACAACGACAACAAGAAGAACACTTTCTGATATATTAATAAAAGGATTCAGAGATGATGTAAGTAGTAGTAGTAGTATGATGATGATGACTGGTAGAATAGCATCATATTACTGATCATTAGGAGGATATACAAGGCATGTGTTGTGATCTATTGGGACGTCGTTTATGGTGCCCCACCTCAATAACAACAAGAACAACAAGAGATGATAGGACAATATTAGAGAATGAGATAATTACCAATATTGGATCTATTATACAGGTCATTTATGAAGCTATTGTTAATGTACTAATACTACTACTACATCATCAACATTATCATAATTACAGTTACTACGACGATTAGAGCGGGCCAAGCAACAACAAAAACAGAAGGAGGATAGTAGGGAAAGCAGCAGCAGCAGCAGCAGCAAGAAGGAGAAGCCATGCAACAAGCAACAACATATTGGTGTAGAGTATACCAGAGTTATCAATGATTTGAAGGCCTTTATGAGAACAGTCTATACATTGATTAATATTGTATCAATAAAGACAAGAAGGGAAGTCATTATACAAGGGGAACATTATCATAGTCATGATCATACAATGACGATGCAGTATGATGATGATGATCAGCAACAATTGCAGGAATTCCATCATACCGTACTATTAACAACAAGAACATGATGTTATTATTATCATTAATAGGTTGAACGTATTTATCAACATCCCATCTGCAGAAATATTATCATCTCCATTTCCAGGGCGGCAACAACCACCACCACCACCACCTCTACTTGACGCGACATCTAAGTACATCTCTTATACACTAGCGCTCGCCCAGTCAATCGATATGGTAGTCGACGACGTGTTGGTGTTCATCATCATGAAGTTTCTTTGTTTTCCTTGTTATTGTTGTATAATACTATAGTGTAGTTACTACTACTGTTTAGGTAGTATTATTGTCGTTTTATTAAAAAGAGCATGCCTAATAAGAATCCTCATATAGAGGCTCCATCGGATGATATGCCTTCTCATCATCATGGAAAGCTATCATCATCATCATCATCGCCTAATCATGATCATCATCATGCCACCAGCTTGAATAGCAAACATCCCTCTCAGTTATTACATGATACCAAGATGACTGCAGTACCAGCAGGAGGAGGAGGAGCAGTTGTTGGTAGTAGTAGTATTACGAGTAGCCTATCACCATCATTATCACCAAGGAGTACCTCTTCTGGTGCTGCTGCTATGAGGGTTCGTAATCGTAATACATTCTTACATTTTACTACTCATGATTATTATGATGATAATTATCTTTTGGATAAGAGGAGTGACTCTTGCTGTTCTATAGGTGGTAGTGGTGGTGGTGGAATGATAATTATTGATGATGATACACTTGAAGGAGGTAATAATGTCGGGGGGAGGAGGGTTAGTGGTAATGAAGTATAATGATGGATATAGTCATAACAAGAATAATAACACGTTAATTATCATGACTATCACCTTTCTCAGTGTGATGATCATTGACATCCATTATTGATATTATTATTCGTTATCATCATCATCATTATCATCATGATCAGATTTTGCACCTACTCCAGGAGCTGGACGATCGCCACCTGGTGAGTTGAGTGATATGATGATGATAAGCCCAAGAGTACGATCACAAAGTGAATGTTTGGATCTTAATAATCATATGAGATTACGATTGGGTAGTAATGCTGGTGATGATGAAGATGAGGATATTCAACCATATGGGTCATCGTATTATTATCAAATTACTACTGATTATGATGAGCAGCAGCATAAAGAGGAAGAGGGTAGTAAGGAGGGGAAGAGGGATGATAATATATTAGAGGATATGTATGATGAAGATAGATTTGGGGATTTGGTATTGGTAGTAGAAGAGGAAGATCCTATGGCACCACCACCACCACCACCATCACGACCACCTAATCATCATCATCATGTTCCGTCTTCTGGGCATGGGAATCGAAGGAATGTTGAAGGTCTGGATACAGCATATGCTTCTCCTCCTATTAGTAGTAGTATCAACTGGAAACCTAATATTGATCTTTCGGGTGATTATACTAATACTAGTGATGATATGCACCATCATGATGATATGCACCATCTAGATCATCATAGAGGAGATAATGAGGATGATGATGACCCGCAGGAATCTAAAGTAAAGTTGACATTGTCTTCTACTACTACTAGTACTATGAAGCATGAAACATCAAGTAAAACTAATAATAATATTAATACTACTAATGAAGATGATGATAGTAGTATAAGGATGACAGTAGGCGGCCCCTCAAGATTATCAAGAGGTTATGATGATATGAGGAGTAGAGATCATGCCCAAACGTATCATTTACCTGATTCTATGAAGACAACAGTTATGTTACGTAATATACCTAATAAGTATACTCAAAGGATGTTATTAAAAGTGGTATTAGAAGATGAAGGCTTTGCGGATAAGGTAGACTTTTTCTATTTACCTATTGATTTCCGTAATAGATGTAATGTTGGATATGCATTTATCAATTTGTGTACACATGAGTATGCTTTACAGTTTATGGATGTTTTCCATCATTATAAGCTCACTGCCTTTAATTCTTTAAAGGTTTGTGAAACTGGTTTTGCCAGAATACAGGGCCTACAGGCCAATATCAATCATTATCGTAATTCCCCTGTCAATGAGGTTACAATACCCGAATATCGCCCATTATTATTTCATAATGGTAAGGAGGTAGCATTCCCTCAACCATCAGTAGTAGATGAAACTACTACAATAGGAACTGCTGTAGCCACAGCATCTCCTCCTCCTCCTACTACTACTACTACTACTACGTTATGGTCTATACCTCAATATCCCTCTAACCCATATCGTAAAGATTCTCATCAAGCACGCAGGACAACACCTGATAGTAGTACTGCTGTGCTGAGAGATTATCATCGATCTTATAATCGTCAACAAAACAATCATCAACAGTATTATTATCATAATCATCCAGGGTCCTCATCATTCTCATCATCACGTTGATTATATTGTTCTTTTGTATAGCGTTGTACGTCTACGTCCTGTAATATTCGTCTGTATTATTTAGTATTAACTCTGATGAACAGCAGCAGCAGCAGGGTGATGATAATGAGTCATAGACTTTTTTTTCGCTGCTCATTAGTACCAATGCTGTTCAGTTAGTATTTACTATATTGTAGTCACTGAGGTGCTGTAGTGTTGATAGTCAGTACGCGACATATATCACTGCCATATCAATAATGTAAAGATGTGCCCAATTGGCATTGATAAAGGATAGGGTTGGAACCAGGAATACTATTGCCCACTACTTGGCAATACAAGTAGATAATCATGAGAGGTCGTCGTTGATCATCGTAAATGTGTCATGTGTACTCCTTCAATATCTAAACATCGTAAATATACAGATCTACATCTCAATCATCATCATAGCACGCATTATCCTCCACACAAGAATACGCTCTATGTCTTATTGGATAACAGAAACCCTTAAGAGGTAACATTTAATGGTGTGTCTTCCTGCTAAAGCGGCCTCATTATCACGTCTTTAACTCTGATGGAATATCTCTGTTATTAGAGAATCCAATATGATACTCGTCGGGTGGGCAAATCGAAAGGCTGATTTTCACGTAAGTGCTGCTGCCTGCGTGTTTCTCGTCGATGATCCGCACAAGCGGATATTCTCATCAATGAGGCCATCATGCACGGATGGCTTGCTGTAGAACCCCCAGGATTGACCGTCTATAGGTAGGCAGTTAGCCGTACGTGCTTCTTACTCTTTATGTTCATCGTCCATGGAGATTAAGCCTATCCACACAGCATCTCAGACTTGTGCGATATCCACATCCTGCACGCATGGACATGATGTATCGATGACCATCACGGCTGACCTTCATAGGGTGAATATGATATACTAGATGGATTATCTAGAGGACGCTGATACTATATCGCTCTGGGGACAGTATATACTCGGCTCTTGATAGAATGCGTGAATGGGGCGGAATAGATTATGCTGATATAAACACCCGATGATCATCTTGATAGAGGGTCTTCGCGATGGGTGTATTGATCTCTGTCTTAGGCATAGACGATATACTTCATACAATTATGATGAACGTCGTCTTCAACATCTTCATCATCCTATTGTCTATCATCACAATGCAACACCTATACGGGTGTAGTAGTAAAAATGGAGGAAAAACTACTACGACTACCTCCGGGCCGGCGACGACGACTACTTCCCCATCTACTCCATTCCCAACATCCCCTCCTGGTTAGTATTATATTCTTATCATCAGTATCACTCTTACTATAGGTAAACCTCATCCTACTGGGCTATATGCATTCAATGGTGAAATACAAAAAGGGGTGAATGCCAGCTTTGAAGCCGACTTCCCACAACAGCCTGACATCATCAATTACTTGTAATAATACTAATGTGGGCATGGAGTACATGAGTGTGTATGTTAGGAACGTTACCGTTGTTGCTGTTAAAGTGTTCGCGAAGAATGTCCATTATCATTTCATAGGCAATACTAATAATATGGAAATGAAGGTGAGTGATATACCATCACAATATCAGGCGATAATGAAAAGTAAGAACACCATATAATAAAGTTAATGCTCACCACCTTTTTTCATTTCAGCGGTCGGCTTTGCATACTTTCATGCGAACGAGTCTATCCGTATAACGATTGGTGCGCTGTCGGGATCACCATCTATTTATCTCACAAGAAAATAGATCATTGCTGACTCGACAATCCAAACTTGATGTATGCTTATCACATCATGTGATATGTGTTCTTTGGAAAAGTAGCTTTGTCAAATGATCAGCAGTTTTTCTCCTTATCTTCCATATTTGATCAATACGAAACCACTTTAGATATGAGCATCAATGTCTAGTGTTAATAACCAGTGATGGTCATGGATACTCCATCCTCTAGCCTTGCATAACATCATCCCTCATGCGTGACATCTATACGTCGTGCACGCATGAACATGTCCCTAATCATCGTATCACATCCATATTACGACTCTCTCCAGAATCGATGATAGACTACTATTTGACGGTTGATGATGAAGTAGAGAATACAAAGATTATACACTCCATCGAGATAATATACAGAATAGTATATGAGTGAGCAGTAGAGACAATGGTTAGGTACACGGCGACACTGGGTAGTGACACTTAAAACACAGGGACAACATGGGCATCATCATATAAAGCAACATCACCATCTATACGAGTCTTCTTCTTCTTCAGTGAATGTATGTAATCGAAGACCCTTACTGTAATGACCTTATTTTTCTTATTATGCAGCGTAATACCCTCCCTAAGAGTATTAGATGCTCTCTATTGTTGTCCTCCTCAATCAACTCACACATGGCGCCGCCTAAACGTGTATTCCGTACGTGTGTACAAAGCTGATTGTCAGCCGAATTGTATCAGATAGTGATGAGTAAATAGACTCTTTGTCTTAGGCATAGACGATATACTTCATACAAGTATGATGAACGTCGTCTTCAACGTCTTCATCATCCTATTGTCTATCATACAATGCAACACATATACGGGTGTAGTAGTAACAATTGGGGGAGAAAGTACTACGACTACCTCCGGGCCGGCGACGACTACTTCCCCATCTACTCCATTCCCAACATCCTCTCGTGGTTAGTATTATATTCTTATCATCAGTATCACTCTTATTATAGGTACACCTCATCCTACTGGGCTATATACATTCAATGGTGAATTGGGTCCATCAGCCCAAGCTAATATGCTTATTGACTTCTCACAGGAGCCTGATATAATCAACCGTGTGTAATATTATCATAATGGCATGTATCATGATGATGATGATCTCTCAGGAATGTGACAGTGGCTAGTGTCCAAGTACCCATACAGGAAGTACATTACTTCATCAATGCTGATAATAATCAAGTCAAGCTCAGGACAGAGGATATCCCACCACAGTATCGGGCTATTATGTCAAGTAATAGCAGCGACTATTACTACTATTAAATGATCGATGATGCCTCTGTTGTAGGTGTTACATTTGAATATTTCCACAGTAACGAATCTATTCGTGTAACAATTCCGGCATTAGGAGGTCCACCAATATATCTCACCAGACCATCATCCACAACCACTTCAACAGCGGCGGCGGCGGCAAGGCGTCTGTCAACTTAAGGAGTATTCTTCCTTTTCTTGGTATATCTTATTGACATCTATCACATGGCTTGGTAGACCTTATTGACCTTATTCCAAACTCAAAGTTATCCATATTCATTAACATTATTATCTTGTGTTAACCAATAATGATCATCATCCTCTTCAACAATTATCAATAACAACAAGTAGCAGCAGCACCAGCAGAAGAATTAGTGTAGTTATATTAAGTAGTATTTAATGATTGATGATAATGGAAGATAATAATACTGGAGTAGTAGTATGATCATCATCAATATAAGCAATACACAGTAATTATTACTAACTACTGAATACGAACTTAGTGCCCAATTTGAAAGCATCACCAGCATTAGTATTCTTAGTTATCTTCTTAGGATCAATACTCATACCAAGATTAGCTGTAACACCACCACCACACATGTAGGTAACCAAAGTACGAGCCTTGAAATCATCAGATATAGTTCCTTTAAGAGAAGTCTTGTCATCGAGACGATACCTAATAATAATCATTATAATAGCTACTACTCGAGGGACATTATTACTTAGCAGCAATGGCTAATTGAGGCTTGTCAGCATAAAGAGTATATTTACTCTGTAATGCGGCTTCTAGATCGCCTTGTTTTGAATAGATAGATGCGGTAAAGTTAGTATTACCACTAGTAATATCATATTGAGTTTTAGCACCCAAGAAGTAGTTACTATGAGTGTAACCAACAGCCAGGGATAACCTAAAATAGATAATAATAGATGTAAAGTATATTGTTATAATATTGATACTTGGAATGATCGAAGTCCACTGGACAATATCCTCTAAGACTAGCACCATTAATCAAAGGTGATGTGAACTCGCCACCAATAGCAAATCCTTTATACAACTCGCAACCAATATTCTCTGTTAGAGATGTCTTTGGACCATAAACATTCATATCAAGATTCTGAGGCAACAAAAATGATAACAACAATCATACTTAATGGTGTTATCATTACGTAATTAACATTATTGAGATTGAGCTTGCATATATCACCCTTGTAATTGACAGAAATGTTAGCAGTATCTTCACCAGACTTGCAATGTCCATACTTACTAGACATGGTTAGACCCTAACAACAACACCAACATTATCAGTATTATACAAGAGGAGGAAGTGCTTCTGCTGCTTTTGCTTACATCAACTGGGAGAGCCTTATATTTACCCTCAATCGTTGATTTACCATCAGTAGTGTTATCTGATTAAGATATAATAATTAATAATATCACATACCACCTACTATAGATGATGTCCATATTAGCATTGGTGTATTTAATCTCAGTACTGGCAACAGTGCTGTTGTTGTTGTTGTTACCAGTGGTAGTGTAATAACATGGACAATTAGCAAAAGTGGTCTTATTCTTGAAGGTGAGCTTATCCTTCTTAGAACTATTCTCTAACTCGCATGCCTACATATGAGGAGGAAGAGCAGCGGATAAATCAACAACAACAGCAGCAGCCTCACCTTTCCATCACAATAACCTGAATTGAACAGGTCGTCGGCCTTCTTAGTAACGTCTCTAAAGCTTGGCATATATGTAATTCTTAAAAGGGATACACTGAAGAAGACGAGAAGAGGATAAGATTCTAGCTGATATGCATGAATAATAATTGACCTAAATGCACGAAAAGTGGAGACGGATCTTCTCATTGGTGGCGGTGGTAGTGGCATGTGAAAATGACATTACTACGCGTAATAGTTATTGTTATATACGGTTATTATAGTGATTGTGTGATATTAAGAGGGGCTACTGGGATGAATGATGATGATGTAATAACAACAATAATAGGGTAGATAGTACATCCTCATGTTGTTAGGGGGTATTGATGGTGAATAGTTATGATGATGATGATGATGATACGATGATTGTTGGGGATCAGACTATTACTACCACACCTCCGTTAACATCGTCACAATCTGAGGACCAGACTATTACTACCACACCTCCGTTAACATCGTCACAATCTGAGGACCAGACTATTACTACCACACCTCCGTTAACATCGTCACAATCTGAGGACCAGACTATTACTACCACACCTCCGTTAACATCGTCACAATCTGAGGACCAGACTATTACTACCACACCTCCGTTAACATCGTCACAATCTGAGGACCAGACTATTACTACCACACCTCCGTTAACATCGTCACAATCTGAGGACCAGACTATTACTACCACACCTCCGTTAACATCGTCACAATCTGAGGACCAGACTATTACTACCACACCTCCGTTAACATCGTCACAATCTGAGGACCAGACTATTACTACCACACCTCCGTTAACATCGTCACAATCTGAGGACCAGACTATTACTACCACACCTTCGTCAACATCATCACAATCTGAGGACCAGACTATTACTACCACACCTTCGTCAACATCATCACAATCTGAGGATCAGACTATTACTACCACACCTTCGTCAACATCATCACAATCTGAGGATCAGACTATTACTACCAGTACCATACACCCATCCCCTGATGTAATACCAACATTGGTTATCATTATCAACGCTGTTCCTGTTGTTGTTATTTTCAGAACTCCGACCCCACTGATGATGACTACGAACTACGATGTTTAGCTAAGGCTAATGGTGGTAAGGATGGAGAGGCACACATGGTCTTCAAGGGTAACCAGGGTTGGTTAACATCACTTGTATGTAGACAACATGCCAACAACAACAACAGCAATAACTCATATACTGATATATTACAGTAATAATACTTATCATCATCATCCTTATTCGATCATTCACTGATTCTTCTTACTTTAGGTCATCAACTTTGTTATCATCACACTTGAAAGATCATAGATTTACGCTACTACTACTTGGTGATGATGATGATGACTATAG